AGTGCAGAATAACATGGAATTAATAAATGTAGGATAAATAAGGACATGTGTGGCATCGTGGAGCAGTGGTTAGCACTTTCACCTCACAGCAACACGGTAAAAATTCTCTCTGTGTAATTTATCACACGATGTCAATCTGTGTTAAAATAAAATGTGATTTCATTCTAACTGCACCCACACGCATCATGATGTCTGCTGCACATATCCTGCTGTGAAACGAAAAAATCTGCCTAATAAAAAAACTTAATTGGCAGAAACATATTTAGACGATAATAAATGCATCAACCTTTTACAGTAAAATAATCTAGAGCTTAGCTTAGCTCAGAATTCAGCTGTGTGACAAATGATTTTACTGCATCTGATGAACTGTGACTTGTCTGAGTGAGTAAAGTACACACTGGGATGTACTGTTAGATCCTGACTGATCCTGTCTCTGTCGGGGATCATTTATAATTAAAAGTAGTTATTAAATTCATCACTGTGTTGAGTTATGTACGTAAAAGTGCTCACCTCTCCCTCCCTATATCATGTTTTGATGTGCCCTGGTTTCGTTTTTGACTTTTCACATACTTCACAGAGACGAACTCTGTACTCTTTAGCTGAGCCTCTTTTACTTTCCCGACTGAGGTGATGAGAGGAGCTCATGTGACTGATCATTACTCAGTCTTCTGTGACTCCACCTGCTGAACGACATGGCTCTCACTAATAATATACATGGATGGCTGGTCACACACACTTATGCAATGTGGCAAAAAGGGGCCCTAGAACCTAAACAGCTGTTAAGTCTGAACTGTCACTTTGAGTAATTCATTCCCAAAGACAGCAGTAAAACCCCAGTGACTGAATCATCAAACACAAATTAGTTACAAAAAACAAGATGTGCTGGCCAGCTTGAACTGCACGATAAGAATTCATTTAATTTCTGTCACTTTGCAAAGATTTGATTATCAGAACAAGATGTCAAGTTTTGTGCAATGTTCTGCATCATTCCATTAGATATGTAAAAAAAAAAAAAAAAAAGTTCAATCTTTTTATATATATTTCCTTAAACTTCATCCTAATCAAGGTTTGATACTTTTTGGAAACTTTGGAATCTCCACTAATATTTAACATGAGGGTTCTGTGGGTTTGGACATTACGTAGCTGTACTAGTTTAGTTTCTAAAGATGGAGATCGAGCAGAAGTTTCCAAATCAAAACATGCCAACAGACAATTTTAAAAACTACGTTTAAAAATAAAATTAGCGAACAAATGTTTTTCACGACTGCTGTACAACCCTCCTTACATCATCAGGCTTTGAGGCATCTGCCCCTGTAGGGTTAGGGTTAGGGTTTTTTTTTTTTGCATTTTTGGTGGCTGCCACTTTGCATTTATTTAAACATCTTTAGGATCTTGTTTGTTGTATCATGTTTGTCTTCTAACCATGACCTGCTTGTCCTCCTTTTACCAGGTCTGATTTCACCTGGTGTCTCAGTTCCAGTCCAAGTTCCAGGAAGTGAAGCAGACATGTCACAGTACTGGCCACGCCTGCAGTAATGTCTTACTGCAGTTGTTACTGCTGGCAGTCATCATCAGTAGCGACTGCAACAACAGGACTGTATAGGTCAAAATGTGACTTATCCTATCTTAACAGCTTGAATGTCGAAAAGGACCTGTCATTGGTTGAAACAGGCTGCGCCACAGCAAATAAATATAAAGAAGTTATTCTCATTATTGCTTGTGAGGAGATGTACAACCAAATTCTGAAAACAAACACAAAGAACTGGGATGGTCTTCATAACTGGAAGGTTTTTAATATTACTGTAAACAGGTACAAGTTCAGCTCTGAATGGAACAAAGGTGTCGGACAGTTCTCTCAACACATCGTTTCCTTCAGCTGCCATTCAAAATCTGGTCACTTTGGACAGTTTGGCACTAAATGAATGAAAAGCTCTAGCTTGAGCTTTACTCAGGGAGCACAGAAAGGTGGACCACCTATTGGTAACAATATGCTCCTGACAGAATTAAACTGCTCAGTGTCCATTTAGCCATTCTGTGAGGAGGCATATTACTTTCACTTTCAGTTGACAAATTTATTAAAGTTGCTGTGCTTGTAGCAAAAACAAAGATGTTGACTTAAATGTAAAGGGAAGAACTTAATGAAACTTGAAATTAACTGTGTGCTATGATTTTCTTTCATCAGCAGTTTCCAAAAGCCCTTGCCTCGAATGTGTATAGAATTTCAGATCGTGGAGTCTGGTGATTTGTGTTTGGTATTGTAAAAACCCTGACATGGATGTGATCTTTTAACTGGCATGTCTGTTTACTCCATTGTCACTAAATCCATCAGTAAACCAACGACTGAAAGCCTGTAAGCAAAACAAACACTTTGTGAGGTTTTAAAAAGTGAACATAAGATTGTGTCTGGGATGTAAATGTGTTTCTAATTTGTGTTTCTAATTTTCAAAGTGTAAAGTGATTTGGGAGGGTTTCCACAATAAAGCTATTTCAAATATATTTCTTTTAACAGATTACTATAGAGTACATAAGAACATGTGTTTAGCCTGACAATTGAGAAAGCCTTTGGTGATGCGACCTTGCTACAGTGGCTGGTGCCTTTCCCAGCTAAAGCTGAGCAAGGAGATGTATACCCTCATCAGTCCATTACACGCTTAACACAGACAGACAATCACGACTGCTCAGCTTGGCGTCTTCTGCAAATCATCTGTAACCAACTGACCAAAGTGCATGTCTTGGACTATGGGAGGAAACCCAGAGAAAACCCACGCAGGCATGGAAAGAACATACAAACAGAGAGGTCTGGTTTGAGCCCGGAGCCTTTTAGCTATGAGAGGACAGTGCTAACCACTGCACTACATGCTGAAACGAATAAAGGTTTTCTAAATATTTATTTTTAGGAACGCTGCTATAAAATTGACTTTACATAATGTCAGATGTCACAGTCTCAGATCTACATATCTACTGGTATTGTAATTAAACATGAACAAGTCCAGAAGTTAAAAGAATTAGTAGCAGTAGAAGGCTTAGGAACTAAATGACAGGTTGATGTACGCCTGAGCATGGAAGTTTGTGTTTATTTTTACCAACATGCCTGATTTGCAGAATTGTGGCACACTTGATCTTTAAATTTAAAAATTTGTGTCACTGTGCCAACCTATTAGCAACAGTCATGACATGATGACAGTTATTTTTTAATGGTGCATTCAGGAAACCTGCATCAGCATCAACAATCTCACATGACCCTACTGGTACTGGTGCAGTCAGATCAATCAATAAACCAGGGACACTAGAACTCAATCAGCGTGAGAGGTGCTGATGAAGAGTCTATCTAATTACGTGCTTCAAAACAGAGCCCAAGATTAGGGGTTTAATTTAAATGGTCAGGCCCCTTTAAACTGCATCCACTAAAGCAGTAAAAAAGTGAAAGAGAAAACATATGTCTAATTCAGGTAGTATGTGCCAAATTTTGGTTCCAAAATATTTTTGAAAATGCAGCCATTGCAACTTTGCATCATATGTCCTGAATCCAACATGGTAACACAGACTAGGAGATGTTTCCCCCTATGGTTTGATTGGCAGTAATTACAGTGTTACAATATAAAACATCATCATCTGTTCTTCTAAACAGTTAAAGATGATTTCAGAGATGGGAAAAGGAAATCAGAGTATCTGGGAACGGAGGCTTGACTTCGCATGATCATTTCTGTTGCAGTCATGAGTTGTATAAGCTTCATCCTTCTGTTCATTAACCCTGACAATACAGTGACTGTAAAGAGTGGAACAATAATCAATATGATGTCACAGTAATGGTTTAGTTGGAAAAAAAGCCGACCAAGGCTGATGGCATGGAGAGGCAGTGAGTGGGGATTGGCCAAATTTGCATTCGAAGTCTAAGTTATGGACCAAGTCTGCAGCAGCAAATACATTTTGAGGGAAATATCATAGTGATTCCCCTCCAACCTGAAACAAGTGGCTTAAACTGTCTCATCACTGCAATAAAGATAGAGTCCATTGTTTGATGTTTATTTTTAATACACGGTGGGATGTGCAGTGTAAGCCCTGTGTTGGAGGCATCGGCAGTTTCTTATAATTTCAAAACCAGATTACTCTTTGCCACTCAAAGAAACAACTGGTGTGACTGGAATGGGTTCTGCTATTTATTTGGACATGTGGTACGCAAAACGCATATGCCAGGTTGGTGGGATTAAAATTCTCTCCAGTGTAAAGCACATTCTTGTATGGTGTTTTCTGTATGCTAGGAGACACATCCTAAGTGAAATAAGCATCGGCTTGTTCTGATGAAGGACAGTGCTCTCAACTTGAAGAATGGGGCGATCTGTATGATTATTATTCTTCAGGACGGGTTGTCCAATTCAAACATATGCAACTGAATTAATCCAAAACTACAAGGAATTGTGTAGCTTCATAGGTGAGCTGGTGTGCTGAGCTACAGAGAATGGGGAGGGGTTAGTATAGAAAAGGCAGAGACATTGTAGATCTGAACATTCTAGAAGATGCAACAGAGACGTTCAAAGGCAGGAAGGATTATTTTTATTTAAACTCTTAAATATGTAACTTTACATACACAGAGATGAGTTTTCAGGATTTAAGCGAGGGACTTTAAATTTTCAATTCAATTTTATTTGTATAGCGCAGCTTACAACATATGTCATTACATAGCGCTTAAGGTGTAGACCGTACAAATTTAAACAGAGAACCCAGCCGGTTGGGGTGAGAGTGGGGATGGTCTAAAGCTATAGCAGCATAACTAAGGGACACTTCAGGTGATCCTGAGCAGCCTTAACTATCAGCTTTTTGACAGAGGAAAGTTTTAAGCCTAACCTTAAAGTAGAGAGGGTGTGTGCCTCCAGAACCCAAACTGGGAGCTAATTCCACAACAGAGGAGCTGATAACTGAAGGCTCTGCCTCCCATTCTACTTCTGGAAACTCTGGAACCACAAGCAGACCTGCAGTCTGAGAGCAACGGGCTCTGTTAGGATGATACGGTAAAATAAGGTCTTTAAGATACGATGGAGCTGGTCATTGAGAGTTTTATATGTGAGAGGCAGGATTTTAAATTATGTCCTGGATTTTACAGGGAGCCAATGAAGAGAAGCTAATACAGGAGAAATATGATCTCTGTTACTGGTTAATGTCAGAACCCTGGCTGCAGCATTTTGGATCAGCTGAAGGTTTTTAGGGCTGCAAGATGGCTCGGTGGTTAGCACTGTCGCCTCAGAGCTAGAAGATCCCTGGTTCATGTCGTTCATGACGCTTGGGATCTTTCTGCGTGGAGTTTGCATGTTCTCCCTGCGTAGCGTGGGTTCTCTCCGGGTTCTCCAGCGTCCTCCCACAAGGTCCAAAAACATGATGAGGTTAATTGGGGATCTAAATTGTCCGTAGGTGTGAATGTGAGTGTGCTTGGTTGTCTGTCTCTCTGTGTAGCCCTGTGATAGACTTCACCCTAAGTCAGCTGGGATAGACTCCAGCCCCACCCCCCGCGACCCTAGTGAGGATTAAGCGGTGTATAGAAATAATGGATGGATGGGTATGAAGGTTTTAAGAGAGTTATTGGGACATCCTGATAATAACGAATTACAATAGTCCACTCTAGAAGTTATAAATGCATGGACTAGTTTCTCAGCATCACTCTGAGAAAGGATGTACGTAGATGACAAAAGGCTGTCCTACAAACTTGTTTTATATTGAACGACATGTTCTGGTCAAAAATAACTCCAAGGTTGTTTACAGTAGAACTGGAGGCCAAGGCAATACTAGCAATACTATCTAAAGGTTAAATACAGATTTATCTCTGGTCTAATACTGAAAAAGTCAACAGTGACTTGAGAGACAAACATGTTGGTCCAAATGTAACTGAATTCACAATCTCTATATTGGGATATGTTTTTCTTTTTTGCCATGTGGTTTTACTACCAACTTTCTGCAAAGGCAACTGTGTGACCATCATGTCTAAAAGGGAATGCCATTGGTTCAAGTGCTTTTTTTTTTTTTTTGGTGAGGAATTCAAAGATTTCCAACTTTTTGTAAGGATTCTTTAAAGTTAGGTTTGGTCTGTACAAGTCTGGAGACCAAGCAATGGACTGGCATAACTGACTCATACACAAGCCTTGCAATGTCCACACAAATGTCATACATTGCAAATCCAGTAGTCAGCCATTGTGGAAAAGAAAAAGAAACATCTCTTCTTTTGTTTCATTCATTCATTCAGGTTGTCATTTCTTTCTGCCCTCCATCGGCCAGCAGGTGGCTGCAAAATGAGAATGAGGTCAACCTCTCCTCATTTACCTAACAAAGGACTGGAAGAAAAGAGAAAGAGGAGCTGATGGCTGTCATAGAGAGAAAGAGAGAAGAGTTCTAAGACAGATTACCTGGAGCTCCATGCTGAAAAGTTTCATTGCATTACGTTTCACACAATCCATATCATCTCAGCACCTATCAATTACTGTCTGCAGCAAACAGCATCACAGGAACTCTAATTATCAAAGAGCATTTGGAGAATGATCAATGAGGGCTTC